AGTGTAATCTCGCTCGACCAGAGAAGGTCCAGGAGATAGGCCGTGGCACAACTGATAGAAGTGTCACCGTATAACCTTGAGGCCTTGGGCCTTAAACATGGTGAACAACAATGATAAGGATAGTAAGAAGAGAAGAATGGATAGATGCAGGAAGATACTCGGATGAAACGTTGGTCCCAGGAAGCTCCCATTTATAGAAAGAGAGGCAGCATAACCAACGGCGCCATTATCGCCCTCAAAAGGCGTAACGGCAAGCGCATTTAGTGCGTCCTTGGGAGCTGAATCGACGGCGACGTTATGGCTTTGAAGAATGAAAAAACCGCAATACTTTGAATTATCCTGGAGAAGTGAAACGACGGGACATTTCGGTAATTGCGGGGTCTTGCATCATCAGTATGGCGTCATTACAGGAAGTTCGAAGAGTCGGATGTCAAGATCGTTTCTTATCGATCCTCTCTAAGAAACGCGGGGACTATCTGTATGCGGCGAAATCGGAGGATCCAATTTCTTGTCATCGAGGCACCTCGAAAGACCATCTCGAAGTCTCGAGGCTACAAGGTCATGATCGAGTCTCCTCCCTCGAGGCTCGTCGACGCTCGATTCTAGGATAATGTTGACCACGGTCACAGTAGAAACGGGGAGTTCTCAAGGCACGTGGTTAGGACTGGCAGAGCCTAGAAAGCTACTCTAAACCCGAATCAGGGTGTCATATAGTTGTCACACCCCTTTATCTTTGTAATTAATATATTTTGTACTATGTTGGGATTCTCCTCCTATATAAAGGGGATCCTTGTCATTTTGTAGGGGTCTGTTGCTCCCATTGCTCCACACGAAATATACAAAAACATTCTCTATTGCTCTCATTTATTATCTTCATTATCGGTCTTCATTTATTGCTTATCATTGGCCATAAAGAGCCTCCGTTGATTTATCTTTAATTGTTAGTCATATTTCGACCCCCCTCGATAGCTCACAGTCGAGATTCGGAATCAACCTCGAGGCCGAATCCGATAATTGGCCCATCGGTTTGGTTATCACTTCACCCCTTGCTTTTTATCTCGTTTCTAAACTTCACATATAGCATCAACTGCTTAACAAACTAGCATAAAAATAGATCACGTATTTTTAGAGTCTCATCAACAAATTTAATTGTTATTACCATTTTCATGGTAAATATGTTTCATTCAGTTTCTTTTCCATAATAAAGTCATTGTAATCTTTCCTTTACTTATTATTACTTGCAATTATTTCACTCTTCATATTTTGTTTCTTCCATTGTAACTCCTTCTATATGCCTTTTCATATTCTTCACAGCACTCTATATAAGTGCACAATAAGATGTCTTTATCCCATCATCCTTATATTCTTTCTGGCAGAATATTTTTTATAGGTTTTTGGTTGCCGCATCACAAAATTGTTAACAATTGTACACTCTTGTCATTACCTTTAAACTTTATTAAGATATATATATATGCTCGATTTTCTAATTAGATTTTAAAAGATTGCTCTTGTCTTGCAACTATATATTGTAGTTGGTGCTTCAACTTCTAAAGCATATATATTAGATAGGAAAAAAACGTCTCTACATTATAACCATATATTGTATTTGCATCTATTTTCATAACTATTATAGAATAATTTACAATGGCAAACGAAGAAGATCTGGGAAAGTTGTGCATACTTATAAGCAAGTTGAAGAAATATGCTACAAAATGGGTAATTAAAGTTTTGGTCATTCGACGAGGCTCAATAAAGGAATACAAAAATGAGAACGGCGAAGATTTACGTTGGCAGCTAATATTCGTTGATAAAGAGGTAACTTTATTTTTATAGTTTCTTATATTCACCACTCAATACACTGCCTCCTATGGTGAGTCTATTGCTTGTCCATCTTGACACAGGGAACAAAAATACAAACTACTCTTTTCGACAATGACGTTCAAGTGTGGAAGAATTTTTTCGACCAAAATAAAAGCTATTACATTATAAACGAAAATATAAGCGGCACAAAATCAAACTTTTTATCTGTGCATAAGGTATCTTTGTCCCATTATCCTTTTTGAATACTTTCTGCAAGAAATTTCTTTTTTTTTCAAAAGAGTATCTTCATGAACCCGTATCTGCAAGGTGTATATGTTTCAATTATTTTATGGTGCAACTATTGACTTCTTTTCAGTCCTTTTTGGATCATAGTTAGCAACCTATTATTCTTGATTATGCGATTGTTAAAAAGTTCAAAGTTAAACATGACACTAATGTGAAAATCCTCTAGAAAGTCCGGAGCATGATAAGTTAATATGGAAAATTTTTAGGACTGTACAAAACTTTTATATTGTCATGTTATATTCAAATAGCTTATGATGTAATTGTAAACTTCGCTTAGGTCCTTTTTGGATCATAGCTAATTAACTGTTGTCAATGTTTGTTGCGAATTATTTAGTATTAATATTGTCAAGGCAAAATTTTGCTGCAAATGTAGATTTCGCTTAAGTACTTTTGGATCATAGCTAATTAATTACTATAATATTTAGTACAAAATATGTTTGTTGCAGATTAATTGGTATTTTCACGGTACGTTAAATTCTTATTACGCTCCATATAGCCGTAGATCAGTTACTCCAAATAGAAAACACATCAAATGATTTGTTTGTCCTAATTTCAATACCTTATTATTTAGTATGAGTGTTAAATTCATTATCTGCATTAAAACTTAATTTTGATGTTAACGATGATTGTGTATGTACTGTTTAAGTATTCTTCATAACTATATCCTTCTTGTGAGACAATACGTCATAATAGATAATACAATCCTTTTTTTCCTTTCTTTTTTATCGTAGTGCTATTAGTATTTGCTTCTTTGATTTTGATTTTTGGTGACTTTGTCGCATGCCAAATTTGTATGTTTAATTTTCTTAGTTATTCAACTTTGATTGTTTATTTCTTTCACCTTCAAGAGCTACAATATTTTTGCATTATATCTTTTTTTTACATTCCTCATTATACTATATAAAGGTGCACAATAAAGTATCTATGGTGACAAATTTGAGCACGTACAATACAGTGGTTCCTACTTTTGTGATGTTGTTATATATTTTATTCAAAAAAAATTATCATCTTTTATTATTTCTTCAATATGAAAATTTTTACTTGAAAACTTATGAGATAATATTTAGATTCTCATCAAAAAATTGATTTGTGTGAATCATTCTCTGATCTATAAAAATGTTAAATTTTTCATGAAGTGCAACTAATCAAAATATCAAACTATCAATTTGATATGTGATTGGCGTGTTAAAATTATTGATACTATTACATTTATGCAATTCAACTAACATTTTTCTATCAAATTCATAAATGAAAGGGCTCATAAATTTGAAGCGGACAAAGGGTACATGTACGTGCAATTATGATTTATAAGTGTGAGTCAAATTTATTGATTTCAACAATTATTATCTATTTATATCACATTTAACTACTATTTCTATGCAGTTGTACACCATAAATTGACGTTGAATTTTCTAGCCATTCTAAGGAATGCATATGTTGATCGAATTTCTCTACAGCTTCTACAAAATTCTACTTTCATTCGAAAATAACTTCTTGACATGTACGTGACTATAAAAAAGAGGAAGCTACAATTTCTTAAACATAAGGCACAAAGTTTAAGACAGGTAGCACTTGCAACCATAGCCTACGTTCCTCATATTCATGTATAAAGTATGTGTTGTTGAAGCATAGTAGGCTCACCATAAATTAGTTTTGAGCTTACATTTTTTTTTCAAAATTTGTGTAACTCATTGCATGCTTATTCTAAGAATATACATATCTCTTTAAAAAAGTTGTACCAAATAGCATGGGATATACGTGCAACGCACATGTCCAAAAACTAGTGTTATTAATGGTAATAACTTCAATGAAGTCTTAGAAAAGGTTGGAGTTCTTGTGGGCGACATACTTTGTTTTCTTCAAATGCAGCTTCTTTCAGGATCGACAATCAAAGATGAATTGATCTTGGCACGATACAAATATTGGAGAAAATTGAAGATCTAAAGGCACTAATGATGAATTGTATATAAATTATAAGCAAACCTTATTTAGAGCGGGTAATATACAAAATTAGAACAATTTTGGTAAATAAGTTATACATATTGTATACGAACGAAAAAATTATAGCACAATTAATATGAAATATCAAACAATAATAATTTATATTTTCACTTTCAATATATCAAATATATACTATTACATTTCAGCAAATATTATCTAAAGAAAAAAAAAGAGTGTTTTGACTGAAGCGTCAAACAGTAATAGACATTTTAATCTTGTGCAAGTATTATGTAAACCTGTTTTTAGTACCAAATGCAAAAACAGATTCATTGGCAATCAGTGTTTATTGCCGAGTTGCGTATTTTCTTTTCCCTTTCTAGCAAATATTCAGACTTTATTGCACTACATCATTTAATAGGAAAAGGATAACAGGAGTGATTTGGCCTTAGGATAGAGTTCATCTTTTCTCTACCTTTTCTGGAGAATTTCATGACCTTAATTAACGAGTTGCGATACTTTGAAACATTTTTTCAATAATTAAAAAATAAAAATAATAATAAAAAGGTTCAAGACAAGAAGGATCTGGGACTAAAATTGGTAAGGTATCAGCCATCAGGCAAGTTGTTTCAATTATTCAAGCTTCATGTAATAATATAGATTAATGCGTCCCATCCAAATGATATCAAAGTTAGATTTAGGATTAATGAATTTTATGTTCTGGCTATGAATCCTAGCTCCAATAAATATATGGTTAGGCATAGGTGTGATAACTAAAATATTACATGTTCAACTTTCAGCAGTAATATGACTTAGTTTTCTCCAATCTATATTGGTTATTTCCCCATTCGTTGTGAGTTATAGTTAAAATTGTAATTGCATACAATTTTTATTGACCTACTACTCTCATCACTTCTATCCAAGGGAATAAACAAAAGAGAGCTATCTCAATTCTCAATTTCTCATGTTCCAAGAAAATTTATAATCATTGGAATAATTAATCATCAATCATTTATACAGTACAGGTAATACATAAGAAAAGTCAGAGAGCCATTTATCAGTTACAACAACCATGCAACTATAGAGCATCCAAAGAATAGGTCTGAAACAAGTATGATATTATCTTCTTGTAGTCGCCAATTTGTGTGCCTGTATTTGGATCAACAAGGTAAGGTACCTGCAAAATGAATTGGACTTCAATTAATTTTTCACTAGCAAAAAGCTGTCTAATAAAATGGGGAAAAAAAGTTGTTATGTCAAAACTACTCTTTTGAAGCTAGAAATATTATGAGCAATGATGCACTCTCTTGATTTAGCTTGTTTGTGAAACATAAAGAAATAAAGTAGAATGAGTTGCAACAAAGAGATCACATCATATTCCCAAAGCAATCTAGCCAAAGTTGTGATTCTCCGGATCTTTTGCAAGGGAAAACTTCAATTACAGATTGTGTTTCGCTGATACTGCCATGATCGCGGGTTCAATTTGCTTAGAGGCGGAAAGCCTAGAAGAGGCCTAGAAGTCATAAGGAACTGTACCGGCAGTGAACTCTAAGGTTTGGCTTTTTCTTTTATTGACTTATTTAGGTATTATGTACTAGATGGTAGCAGATATGACCAGTACTGACATAGAAGAGAGGTAAACTATAAATCAATCAATTAAATATTACTCCCAACTAGTTGGAATCAACCATATGAATCCTTAGCATCCATTCCACTCTATTCGAGACTAACGCATGTTCCGAAAATTCAATGTTCATCGGATTCATCAAGTTTGACTATTTAGGCAGGCTGTCAACCTACCACAACCCTCCTTTAAAATGACTAAGCGAAGCTTCGTTAGCAGAGCTATAGAAGGGTATTAGACTGCAGGTTAACAAGAACATCGAAAAGGAAACCTAACCTCCTTTCCACCAGATATTTTTATGAGTAACTCTTCACGTGCTGATCCTTCAGCTACATTATTCAGTATGTAAGGAAGCTCCAGTTCACAAAGTGCTTCACGCACTATCCGAGCATACTGTGACCGGAAAATTTTGAAAAAAGGAAGGAAACAATTTTGTCAATTTCAGAAAAGCAGTATTTTCCATCAGTACATGAGCATGTTTGTCTTTTGCTCATATTATAGGTTTTTCTGGGAGTTCCTCCGTATTTAAGGATAGCATAAGATAATAGTGCATTTAGTCAAACCATGAATTGCATAGATGCTAATCTACATATTGCTTTTCATGATCAAAGGCTTATGTGAGGCAAATATGATTCAAATATTTATAGAACCTAAGTTCATTCTACGTGGCAGAGCAATTATGAGAAGACCTCAATCAGTTAAATAAGCAAATTTTCCACAAGCTTCGCTATATGTTTCATTGGTCATTAACATCCGATACGAAGTCAAGTTTTCAGGAAGTAGCAGGTTCATGACTAAAGGGCCTGTGTAATCTTCAATGCAAATAAATCTTGTAGCTTGTCCAGTAAAAGCTAAAGCAGATCATCTAAATGACTAGTGAATGGATGATGTGATTGGACCTTTCCCGGTAGGGATTATAAGAAGAATAGTTTCTGATAATCATTAGTGATGGCCACGACAATTTTTTCAACTTTAGCCAGTTTATATCTGATTATCTGAAGTCTCAAATTAAATAATCACCTATTTCGTGGTGCAAAGAAAATTTGTCAAGTTACAAGACGAACAGTCAATATTTTCTCTGAAATAAGCATTGATTTAGTAGTAGTCTTACAGGATTATTCTCATATGAGAAGAGTTCCAGCTTTTTAGGCGGTGGCTCTTTCCTGGATCTATCCCATAATGTCATTCCTCTTCCTGCTCGAAGAAGAGTTGGCATCCATCCTGTTATGATGGTACTGTATGTTGCCAATATATAAATTATGTTAAAATCATAAACAAATCAATATACATTTGTCTTCAAGCCATAAACTGCAATTCAGACTTCTGCGCAATATTTAGCATCACATACTTTGAAAGGAAATAATACCATCAACCTAGAAGTATGAGTGACTACTGTCTTAATCAGCTGGTTTACATTGCATTGTTTCACTGCTCAATGATGTTTATAGAGACCATGAAATTTCTCCTGTTCTAAGTGATGGTAAAACACTTTGATCTTGTAATGTATGCAGAAAATATTCTCAGGCTTGAGTCTAAGAAATTATAGCAGTCCAGATGGTAGAGGCCTAATTTCTTTTGGCAGTACACATAATTGTTTGTGTTACTAAGTGAAAGCGGTAAAAAGAACTTGCTTACATATGGATCTCCAGTTAAAGATGCATCCATTCCTGACAAGTAGTTTTACTTCTATATTGTTTATGTACTATGACCTCTTTCGCTAAAATTCCATTTCTGAACAGACATGGAATCATAAGGCAGATGACATGAATGTCATTTTAAGTCAAGCAGCCTGTGGACTATAATGAATAGAAAATTAGTACCTCTCATTTATCTCTCAACATTCAGCATCAGTCAAACCTCTCTATAACATCCCTATATAACACCCATTCACTATAAAAACCAAGTTTTTCTTGGAACCAATTTTTATGGTATGTTATAATATATGTTTTCTATAACAGCACTTCACTATAGCGGCCAAAAATATCGGAACAAACGACGATATTATAGAGAAGTTTGATTGTAAATTCACTGGGTAAGTCGATGGACAGGTGTATTTTATACATTGAACACAAATACCATCACGAAGCAGAACTAATAGAGAAATCAATCATAGAAAACTGATCTGAAGAGTAATTTCCTCTGCAGTAGCCTCTTCCTTCTATGCTATCCCATCCAGAAGTCCCTCTCCCCCAACCCCACCAGGGAATAAGTGCCAAAATTAGGATGTTTCATTCATTAGTGAAGATAGGTGGGGATGGACGGAGGCGGATCCAAGATTTAAATTTTATGGGTTCAGATTCACAATTTTACCATATCTCATCTAATTTAATGGATTCAAAATTTATTATTTGTACATATTTAATGATTTTTTGAACAAAAATATAGGGTATGAGCAAAAGCTATGGGTTCAATTGAACCCATAGCTTCTACACTGGATACGCCTTTGGGAGTGGACTCTGGTGACAACGGTTGGTTGAAAATTTTTACAACATATAAAAAAAATGTAAGAACAAACGCTAGATAATACAGTCAAACCTCTCTATAACAGCATCCTTTGTTCTTATAATTTTTGGCTTTTATAGTGAATGACTTTTATACACTTATAAAAGCGTTTGACGTTTGAATATTATTTGGCTGCGATAGATAAAAATTATCCAACAATTAAATTCTTTTCTTTTGTTAATGTTACATATAAAAAATAAAAAAAATTACTCAAATTTAAAATCTCAAAAGATATGCATATTTTATCAATTAAATATTAAAGAAAGCTAATATATTATTAATAAATTCATAACTAAATGTGCATTAAATAAATGTGCACATCTTCAATTCTTAAATATTATGCACAACGGAAACTTTTTCCAATATAAAAAATATATACAGATCTTCAAATATTAAACATTATGCACGATAAAATTTTTGTGCAATGGAATGAAAATATGCAAGCATATGTTATAATGGAATTGAATGAAATCTTTAATTATGGAAGTATGTACTAACATAACAGTCTTTATCATAAGTGATGCATTTAAGTTTTAAAATATTTTACCAAAATCTTTAGACTTATTATTGGTGATCTCAGAGATTTTACATGGTTGTTATAGAGGGGAAATTTTACATAGAGTGTACAACTATAAAGATGATTGTTGCTTTTATCGGTAAAAAGCGATTATAGATAGGTAAAATATAACATAAAAAATCGGTTCCGAGAAAAAATTGACTTTTATAATGAATAGCTATTATATACGGATGTTGTTATAGAGAGGTCTGACTATATATATTGACGATATTGGACAAAATGCACTTCCTAGTTCTACTGGTCAAACATGTCACTGGCTTAATTGGTCCGGCTTTCACTCCTCAGCTTTGACATGTATGTTTTACATTTTTTTAGCCTCATTTATTAAATATAAAATTGAGGATGCAAAAGGAATCAATTTCTAGCTTCACAATTGTAAGAATCTACTATACCACTATGCTGAAGTTCCTTTTAATGGATGGAAAAAAAGTTCCTTCATGTCTTAACGAGGAAAAGATTTCTTGAGAATTATGTTTCTACTAAAGTTATCATGAATACATTTTTAAAAAAGGAAAACTTTTTAAAAGTGTTGTAGTAATATACTTGTATTGTGTTTTATTAATAATGTCAAAATTCTGTTTGATTTGTTCATTTGTTCAGTTTTTTAAATGCCGACACCACTTACAAAAATTCTGAGTATGCACTGAAAATAGGTACTTAAAATACCTTTCCAAGAGGCCAGTAGATGGATTCCTTCCTTGATCATATTGCTGAAATAAATATTTAACAATATCACCTGAGAAAGAAAAAACCATTCATTAGTTTACTAGAGGAACGGAGTCATATTGAAAGCTCGTGCAGCCCTGCATGAAGAGTTGGTGCTAGAATGCAGGTCGTCTCATCAGTTCTTTCTAATATCATATCCCAATTAAAAAGGAGGTGCCTCCAGATAAAAAGGAGTTGGTATGATGTATGATACTCACTACAGCTCTTGTTCTCTCTTTATTTGCTTCTTTTTTTCTTTTGGTAAGTCGTTCATTTGCTACGACATATGGGTCTTAGCATTCATTCTAAAGTAGCTGATGTAATTAAAAATGGCCAGTGGTGTGCTCGGCTGGAAGAAAATGATCTAGAGAACTACAACAGTAGGTGAACCCCATCCTTATGGCTATGCTTCCTTCTACTGGAGCTGTGTGAAGTGAAATGGAAAGGAGACACATGTAAATATTTCCATTAGAAACAAGGGAAATGGGCATCTTTGATGTGTCTCCTAAACAATCCCAAGAGTAGCTTTCTTTCTTTGGCTTACCACTCCACACAGACATAGCACACTGGACATATTTAAGTGTCGCGAGATTGTTGAATATAAATATCTGCTACTTTTAAACCCAACCTGAGAGGCTGAGACCGTAAAGTCTTTTTTTCTTTTTCTGGCAGTTGTTCTGACCTATTTGCCACCAGATTCTGCAGAATTGCTCAGTATATACGGATTCTTACTCCTGTCATGACGAACTGGGATGGTAATCCAGTGTCCCAAAAGCAAGTCCTCTTTCAATAGTGGGTACTAAAGCTTTGCTTTTCTTGTGTGAAACTGTAGAAGGGACGGTAAAATAGTAGTGTAGTTGCTTAAACCAGACATAACTAAGAACTAAGTTGTTCTCTCCTTGCTTGATGCATCTACCCCTACAACTGTACACCAAACATAAAAGTTCCTACATCGACTGCTAGAGAAAAAAAGAGGGATAGCATCTGTTCTTAAGCTAGTTAAGACAATCAAGGGCACAACTATGCTTAGTATTTTAATCCAGGGTAGCACAAATTAAATGCTTAACCCGCCCACTAACATTTAAAAACTAAAGCATGTACGTAATTGCTACCTAATTTGGCGGGAAAACAAACGGTTATTCAGCACTAAGATGAAACTGCCTCAAACACCAAAAATTCAATAGAGAAAAGGAACTCCCAGCTTCTTACCACTTTCATAGAGTGAAGTTCCAGTATTTGGGTCCACAAGGAACGGGAACCTGCAAAATATCAACAATTCACTAAGTTAAGAATGATAGAAGGAACAGTACTACGCTAGAACCTAAACTTTGAAAACTATGGCCCTAAACAAATACCTAGTAATTGTATTGTTGCCTCATAGTGAACCTTTTTAGTTGGAACTATACCACCCCTGTAAATAGTGCTGACTATTTTTTTGGATTTTGTTACCTCCCATCTTAGCATAGACTCGTTTGTACTGGAGCTATCTATCCCACCCTGTTGTACTCATTGCAACTGCTTACAACAACAAACCCAGCGAAATTCCACATGTGGGGTCTTGGGAGGCTAGTGTGCACTCATTGCATCTGCTTGATGCTTTTTAATGAATTTCACTTACTTCGTCAAAAAGTGATTAGCTTCTTGTCTCTTGTCCATATGAATATACTAGGCAAGGATCTCCAGTTAAGGGGATATACAAAGATAGGATTCAGAAAGAAGAGATATTCTTTATAATAGAGTCATCCATGAACTTGTTTTCAGAAATAATTATCATACTTCTTAGGGTTATTTTGTTCGGTAACCTCCCATAACTAACATTCACCTTGTGCCCTAACACTACAAGGTTAGCCATATTCAACGTCCAATATCGGAAAACATGCTCGAAAACCTTAACAAAAGGCAGCACTAGCTTTCCGACGGCCGCCTCATCGTACGTGACAATTTTCTTGATTTGCCATGTATTGTTTAAATCTAGAACTGGAGGGTATATGTATCTTATTTCTATTAGGTGACGAGTTACTAACAACGGCGTGTTGCTAGCTTTGCATGCTTCTTCTTCTGCTTTTGATGGGATGAAATTGTAAAAGAAAGTCTTCTTCATCATAATGAAAGTCTAATTTGATGAATTTACAGACAAAGAAACTTTGGTACAACATTGAGAAAAGGTGTTTAGGATTTTACAGGGATGTTGTCATATTGATTTTGGAAATTTAAGGTACTAGGGAATGTTTTCCAAGTAAAGTTGGGTTTCCTATTTTTACTGTATATAGGATAAACAATTTATATCGGTTTATGAAACTTGCCTTGTATTTATTACTATTTTACTACCATATCATAGTATAAACGCGTTCAAGTCTCTTTTTTTCTACAATTTTTTGAATCTTTTAAAAAAGAAATATTTTTAGTATATTTATTTTTTTTACGCTTAGAAGTCAATTGTATTACACTACTCCCACCTGGATTCGACTACTATTGGCCAGATGGACATGATAAGAGATATTCATCCTCAATTGGGACTCTACTATTGGCTAATGATGTAGAGTATTATTTTTTGAGTTGTAATCGTATTTAGTTGTTATGTTTATGGTTTGCTGCAGCCAATATCGTATGGCTATTGGAAATGGGAAGATAATGAATTTCACCCAAGAGCCAAACTTAAAACACAATTTCTTTTTTTTCTAAACTTTGATCACATATATTTGAAGTTGTTCTGAAGTGGCTAAACTTGTAAATGTTTATACATTGTGTTATAACTTAAACGCCCCAATTGAGGATGAATATCTCTCACCATGTCCATCTGGCCAATAGTAGTCGAATCCAGGTGGGAGTAATGTAATACAATTGACTTCTAACCGTTAAAAAATTAAATATACTAAAAATAGTTTTTTTTTAAAAGATTCAAAAAAATGAAGAAAAAAGGAGACTTGAACGCGTTTATAATATGATATGGTAGTAAAATAGTAATAAATACAAGGCAAGTTTCAAAAACCGATATAAATTGTTTATCCTATATACGGTAAAAATAGGAAACCCAATTTTACAAAGAAAACATTCCCTAGTACCTTAAATTTCCAAAATCAATACGAAAACATCCCTATAAAATCCTAAACACCTTTTCTCAACGTTGTACCAAAGTTTCTTTGCCTGTAAATTCATCAAATTAGACTTTCATTATGATGATGAAGACTTTCTTTTACAATAACTCGTCACCTAATAGAAATAAGAGACATATACCCTCCTCCAGTTCTAGATTTAAACAATCGATGGCAAATCAAGAAAATTGTCATGTACGATAAGGCGGTCGTCGGAAAGCTAGTGCTGCCTTTTGTTGAGGTTTTCGAGCATGTTTTTTTGATATTGGACGGTGAATATGGTTAACCTTGTAGTGTTAGGGCACAGGGTGAATGTTAGTTTATGGGATGTTACATAAGAGAATAACCCTAAGAAGTATGATAAGTATTTTGAGATGTTGGCTAATGATGATTATGCATTCGTGATTCAGAAAGAAGAGACAGTCAGAAAACGATATAATAGTGTCATCCATGAACTTGTTTTCATCTTCCCCTTCTCATGGTTCAGCATTCTTTATTCTACCTATATTCTACCTTTTAACTAGCATTTCGGAACTTGTTTTCTTTCCAGAAAAGGAAAAAAAATCCTCTAGTACTTGCCAAATTAACAAAACCTTAATTAAAAATTTAATCTGAAGATGATCTACATACTGTTCTTTGCCTCCCAATCTTCGAACCATTTCTCGGTGTCTTACCGATCCCTTTGGACATGGATAAATCTACAAAATCACATTTGGGCCATAAGATAACCACATAGCAAAGATAAAGCAGAAATATTGACAAGATAAATAACTTTAGTATTCAACATATTAATGCGATTATATGTTGTGGCAAATGAATACATTAAAACTCATAATCAAGTCACAACAAAAGAATCAACCACAGAAGGGCTTCGCATTTAAACCATGTTCTTTTTTATTCCTATCAACAAGTGATGAGGACCAATCTGGATCTTTGAATAACTGGGAGAATTGCAGATTTTCATGTTTAATAGAAAGCAAATGGTCCGATGATATATCTAAATTATATAATTATGTAACATAATGGCAAGGTTTTGAGGTGAAACAGAAAGAAGACTTAATTTAGTTTGGATGAACCCCATCTACTTCAGCTTCAGGTAATCTGCAAATAGATGCTGAGGATCCCTTTGAGGAATAGAAATTGAGATAGCATCTAGCTTTATGATGGGCAAATTGCTAAATTGTATTTCCCCTTACAGCGTCTAACAAAACGTAATAAGTACAATGATACCAGAAAAACTGGACTTTCTCAAATCTAGCTAATCTCGTGATCTTACATAGGATATATTGCCGTACTCAATCAAGTTTCAGAAAAAATTAAACCTTTTCAGCATAAAAGGTGTAGATTCCAATTCCCTACATCTCAAACTTGGAAGAAGAACACTCGTTCAGCTTTCTTTGCTTCTATTTGAACGTTTAGATAAGAGACTCGATCTGAATTTTGAAAATTTCTTGCAAAGACACTGTATCAGTTCCAAAACCAATAGCCAGTCCTACTGATAGGGAAAAATAAAAAGAGAGAAAAACCAAGAACCAGTCCATACAGGGTCCCCTTTATCTCCTCAAGATATCGTGTCTTAACTGAAACCCTCACAGCCCTCATTTGAGGAAAATAACAAAGAAAAAGAAACCAACTGCTCCCCTATCCTTAGCTTGCAAAGACTGCAATTATGTTAAACTGGCTAATGAATACTTTCCTTAGAATTTATTTGAATCCTGTTTGACTATCATGGACATCAAGAAGAGAAAGTGTGAATCGATTATTATCTTGGACTCTTTTTCTCATAAAAGAAAAAACTAGTATGGAATCAGTGTGGATTAAAACTTGGAAAATTATACCCAAAAAGTGTGAAGGTGGGGGCAGTTTTCAAAAAGTTAAAAAATAAAATAAAATAAACAAGTAATACCTATATCAGTGTATATTACATTAAACTTTTGAGATGGAAACTTGTCCGTTTGGGGAAGGACTCAAGTACTTGGGTAGTCTACCACTGCCTAAAATGGTAAGTATTGTCAAGTAATTTGGAACAGACAGGGTGACTCTTAAGCGCGCTTAGCAATGTTATCTGTGTAACTTTGATGGATGTATATATATTCCGAAAGCTACTAACTGTGAGAAGGCACGGGAGAAAATATGATATATATTGATGTTGTAGTATGTGATGCAATACAAGAGGTGCTATTTGTAGCTACTCTATACAAAGGGGATACTACTCCTATTCCAATGTGGGACAATTACATAGCTATCTCTAAACACTCCCCCTCAAGCCGGAGCATATAAATCATATGTACCGAGCTTGTTACATATATAATCAATGCGAGGACTAGTGAGGGACTTGGTGAAAATATCTGCAAGTTGATCATTCGATCTCACAAACTTCGTAGTAATATCTCCTGAGAGTATCTTTTCTCTGACGAAGTGACAATCAATCTCAATGTGTTTAGTTCTCTCATGAAACACCGGATTTGATGCAATATGAAGTGCAGCTTGATTATCGCACACAAGTTCCATCCGACTGATTTCACCAAATTTCAACTCCTTGAGCAATTGTTTGGTCCAGACTAGTTCACATGTTGCCATAGCCATTGCTCGGTATTCTGCTTCTGCACTAGACCGAGCAACTACATTATGTTTCTTACTTTTCCAGGACACCAAATTTCCTCCTACTAAAACACAATATCCAAACGTAGAACGTCTATCAGAAGGTGATTCTGCCCAATCAGTATCCGAGTACCCAACGATCTGCTCATGACCTCGATCCTCAAACAGTAATCCTTTACCTGGAGCCGATTTTATATACCGGATAATGCGGACAACTGCATCCCAATGGCTATCACAGGGAGAATTCATAAACTGACTTACAACACTCACAGGATAAGAAATGTCGGGCCTAGTCACTGTGAGATAATTTAATTTACCAACCAGCCACCTATAGCTTGCAGGATCGCTAAGCGGCTCCCCCTGTC